CTTTCCCTGAGGAGATTAAAAGCAAGTTCCACTAACAAAAAATGCACCATTCTTCATCTATTTTATATATAGTTATCATTAATATAGAAATTTACAAAATTAGAAGCTACACATTCTCATACAGTTTGACATGGTATCTAATCAGGCCTACCTGTGGGCTGTTCTGAAAGGGGCAGGTCCCTCTACGCAAGCCCCTTCCACTACTTGACGTATTTGTGTCTTCCTCCTCCCCTTCCCCAGTTAAGTCCCATTTAGCAATTGTTCAGCTACTGAGTGAACAGTTAGTGAACTGATTTTGTTGAGGGAACTCATAGATGTTTAGCTAAGTGAACTTAGCTAAACACATAGTGATGCAACCTGTGGCTCCCTAATTCCTGGATTCAAAATGATGGAAGAACTGGAAGCACAATGCCAAGAGTTAGCTAACACTACCTACTGCGATGACAACTTCCCATCTCACTAGGTTAAGTGTAACATAAAACCACACCCTCGACAGCACAGAGATGAGTGAGGTGTGTTAGTTATTACACTGTCATTTCTAGAACCATTTTATTTTTATCACATATATTAAAAACTAGGCTGGGCTTTAGTTATCATGGACCCTGTTATGCAGTGCAGGCAAATGTCCCATAAGTGTTTGGAGATGCTAAAAAAGAATTTCAACAAGGACTGCTAGAAACTTAGGCAGTTCTAGGATGGATGTTTAGTAAAGTTTCTCCTGAAAATGGATGTAAGTATGTAATCTGTCCTTGATGGCTTCACTAATACTACCAAAACTGGCTATGGTGCCAGTGAACAGAGTGTGTTCAACAGGGTGAACTGTTTTACTGACTCATTGATGATCTGTTTTTCTCTCATCCAGCTGTAAAGCATATTTAATGATTTTCTACGAAGATTTTCAAACAGCAGTTGAAATGGTCTTGAGTTAAAAAAGAAATGCTTACGATCTGACAGAAACTCTATATTTGGAAAAGAAAAATATATAAATTGCAGAGAATGTAAAGGAAGTCAGGAGAAAGGGATGACTTAGGTATCTCCTGTAATGCATCCATTCTGTGATAGAAATAGAAGTAACAACTAGGCTTGTTTGTTGCAGGTACAAAGTAATTTAATGTGGGTGTTTTTATTATAAGTTTTTATGATATAGGATGGTAGAGAAATGCTTAAGGTAGCAGTGGGGGAAGAAATAACATTTTGAATCTTAACTTGGATAAGAGCTGTTAAAGTAATAAATCTGTGCACCTCCTATAAGAAAGTCCCAAAACATTTTATAAATAATAATGAACCAAATCCTTACAATGTAAGTGATGACACCAGCATAGCAATGGATCACCTCACTTGGAGTCAGCCATGCAGATCACTCTGTGAGTCACCCACAAAGTCAGGAACATAACTTCCAAGTTGAATTTCAGGCTTTTTTCAGGAGCCTGGTGCCAGAATCTGCTTTTACAGCCATGATCTCACATTCAGTGTCGTAACTCCCTGCATTACTTGCCTAGACATTGGTCTCAAAAGTAGTAAAACTGAATGAATCAACAAGCCTGCTAAAGTACATTAGCTACATCTGCAGTTGATAATTATTTCCTACTTTGTCTATCTTTGGTAACAGCAGTAGCACTTAAACCAGTATTTCACAACATAACTTCCTATCTCCTAAATCACCAGAGGATAGCAAGCTACCAAGAGGTACATTATATCTCAGAATCCACTGTGAATCCAAGCAGAAATTAACAAGTCCGTTTTATGGGGCTTCTTCTTTTGTTTGATATATTCAGATTTAAGGAATTCACAAAACAAAATACACCTGAATGTCAAACTGAGATATTAATCTGATGCCTTTACAATATCTGAATATTTTATTTGAATTCATTTTACAGTTAACATTTTCAAAATAACTCATGTACTTCTCTGGGACTCTTTAAAATAATTCAAGATAACCTTTCCTTCCAAAGATATGATTTAGACACTGACTTAGACTGAGACCAAGTTTATTGATTTTTCTTTCTGGAAGCTTTTAAAAGAGAAAAATGCCTACTTACCTCCTAAGGTTGTTTAGCAACATGATGTTCACATACATATAATATAAGTAGTAACTATAGGGGGGATTCTTCTCACTGGTCCAGAGGTCAGGGTTAAGGCTCTTGTCAGAGAACATATGGCCACTGTGTTTGGATTCATCATCAACACTGTCAAAGCCAGTCACCTTATAGGAGAAGAGATTCACAGAAATCAGTGTTTTCAAGAAGCAAACTTGAACATTTCTTACTCTTCCTTCAAGACTTGCTTGTACAAAGAATCTAGTCCTCTTCATTCCCCTCCTTATCCTAGCAGTCCTGCTGCTGTCCCCTCCCACCACAGCAGGCAGACAGCA